AAAAAATACAGTGAACTGGGGAGGGGAATTGTTTTTGTGTTGGTGTTGTAAGGCTTGAACTCAGGGCCTGGGCACTGTCCCCGAGCTCTTCTGCTCAAGCTAGCATTCTAGCTCTTTGAGCAAGGGCATCACTTCCATTTCTTGAGTAGTTAATTAGAGATAAGAGTCTCCTGGGGACTTTTCTGCCTGTGTTGGTTTCCAACCTTGATCTGCAGATCTCAGACTCCTGAGTAGCTAGGATTATAGGCTTAAGCCACCAACACCTGGCCAATGTACTCTTAAAATCACAAGCACACCCCAATTTCCAGAAAACATTTCTCAGACAGTGCTAACAATTTTTGGTACACCTTTCCTGAATTATTTATTTATTTATTTTTGCCAGTCCTTAGGGCCTGGGCACTGTGTCTGAGCTTCTTTTGCTCAAGGCTAGCACTCTACCACTTGAGCCACAGTGCCATCTCTGGCCTTTTCTGTTTATGTGGAACTGAGGAATCGAACCCAGGGCTTCATGCATGGTAGGCAAGCCCTCTACCACTAAGCCATATTCCCAGCCCCTTCCTGATTTTTTTTTTTTTTTTTTTGTCGTGGGGCTTGAACTCTGGGCTTGGCCACTGTCCCTTAGCTCTTCAGCTCAAGGCAAGCACTCTAACGCTTGAGCCACAGCGCCACTTCCGGTTTTCTAGTTATTAATTGGAAATAAGAGCCTCACGGACTTTTCTGCCCGGGCTGGCTTTGAACCGTGATCCTCAGATCTCAGCCTCCTCAGTAGCTAGGATTACAGGTGTTAGCCACCAGCGCCCGGCCTTCCTAAAATTTTATATCTATAGCCTATACCATTGTGTATTTACTAGATCTTCCCATGTCAGCACATAGAGTTTGACCTAATCCTTTGTACCTGCTACATAGATTGCCAGTGCAAAAATTAATCTAACCATATAGGGAAGACTTCATCATGAGCATCATTAACTCACTACGCCTGTCCTTCAAGAGCTAACCCTGGATGTCTTTTGCAGGACTTTAACACAATCTTTTCTTCTAAGTGAGGTAGATTTTGTTCCTTCATGGAGGAAATCTCCCAAAAGCTAAATTAGGTTGGGCTAGGTAGCCACGCATCTGTAATCCGATCTCAAAAAGAAAAAAGAAAAAAAGCTAAATCTCCCAGGTGCCAATGGCTCACGCCTGTAATCCCAGCAACGGGGGAGACTGAGACCACAATTCGAGGCTGGCATGGGCAGAACAGTACGTGAAACTCTGATCGCCAAAGAAGCACCAGAAAATGCCAGAAGCAGAGCTGTGGCTCAAAGCGGAAGGATGGTGCCCAGGCCTGGTTCAAGCCCCAGGGCCCCACCCCCACCCCCAGCTGACCCCAGTCAGTAATTCAATTATTTTCCTAAAGCCAAACTCTGATCCCTTAAGGATACACGATGCCACCCGGGGGCTGAGGACCCCCCCAAAGGCTCCCCTCCGGGGTGCTGCCAGGCGGCGTCCACCGCCTGGGCTCAGACGGGCCGGCCCTTTCCGTTCCGAGGCCGCGGGTCTCGCTCCGGGCCGGGCTCCGCTCCCTCCGTCAGCCCGGGGTCCAGCCGAGGTCTTCCCGCCGGGACCCCGCGGGGCAGGCGGCGCTGCAGCGCCCCCACGAGGCCAGCGGCGGTGGAGGCGGCGGGCTCCGTGCAGCGGGAGGGGACCAGGCCCGGCCCTCCCGAGCCCGGGCTCCGGCACCCGCGGTGGTTTTCACGGCCCACCTAGGAGCGTCCGAGTCGGAGTTGATTAAAGCGATGGCAGCTCGTCCGGACTCGGCCAACCACTCATTGCCTGGAAGGCAATCCTCCCCATAGGGAGCCGAGTCTAGGGCAGAGCCGCACCCAGGGCACCCTATTGAAGTCAAGCCCGACCTACGGCCTCTGGAGACTACAAGTACCAGAATGCAATCATCTCCCAGAAAGCGTAGCGAGAGGCCGAAATGGCCGGAGCGTTGCCTGCTGGGAATTGTAGGCTTCAGCTTGTTTGTGATGCAGCAAGCCACTGGGAGTCCGGGGAGGGGGGGGGGGGAAGCGAGGCAAGTAAACTATTACCACGTGACGCTCAGGCTCAGGTGGTTGGCTCAGCTTCTGCTCCAGAGTTATGATTGGCCGACTGTATTCTGAACGACGCCACTAGGGGGGAGAGGGGCGGGCCGAAGAGAGGCGCAGGCGCAGTGCGTTGCGAGTCTCGGGATTTCCGCCCCCCCTCTCGCAGTGACCATGGCGCTCAACAAGAATCACTCAGAAGGCGGCGGAGTGATCGTCAACAACACGGAGAGGTGAAAACACTGCGGAAGGATTCTGGAGAGCCGCCGGGTGGCTGTCAGTCGTGTGGGCGGTGGGCGGTGGGCGGTGGGCGGTGGTGGGCTTCTCCCGAGGGGAGGAAGTGATGGGGCGCGGGGGTAACGGCCGGGGGACCGGGGTGGGCGGTGGGCGGTGGTGGGCTTCTCCCGAGGGGAGGAAGTGATGGGGCGCGGGGGTAACGGCCGGGGGACCGGCGGCGGGGGGCGGCCGGAAGTCGCGACCCCGTGGGGGCGGACGGACGGACGGGCGGGCGGCACCGGGGTCGGGCCCACCCGTCAGGCCTAGGGATGGTTCTGGAGCCTCGTCGCGGAGTCGGGGACTAGGGAGGAGGAGGAGCCTTACACAAAAACAATCGTCGTTTATTGGGCACCGGGGCCGCGGTTGCCCCGGGGCCGCCGCCCGTCCCTGCCTTCCTGAACCCCGAGCTCGTGGGCGCCAGAAACCAGTACACGTCGGACGGATGGATGGACCGAGGGCAGGCCCGGGGGCGGGGGGGGGGGCGGGTGACGCGCCCTCCGGTCCAGAGCCGGGAATGAACGGGAGGGCGTTGCAGACCCCCCCCGGCTCAGCCTCACCTAACCACCGGAAGACTCCGGAACCACGCCGGGAAAAGCCGAGAGCCCCGGGCTGGGGGTTCACGCCTGTGACCCCAGCTACTCCCGAGGCCGAGGCTCCGGAAACAGGGGGAGTGCAGCGGTAGCGCCAGTGGTAGAGCGCCAGCCTTGAGCCAGACAAGCTCTCAGGGACAGTGCCCAGGCCCTGAGTTCAAGGGTTCAAGCCCAGGGCCAGAACAACAACCACAAAAGAAGAAGAAGCGAAAAGCTGAGGTCCCCGAGGTAACATCTGATAGTGTTTGGCAGCTGCCTGAATTCAGTTCCTTGTCCACTGTTGGTCCCTTTCTCTCTCTTGAATTCCCAGGGGCTTGTCACTTCCCAGAACAGAGATTGCCCTAACTTCAAGAGCTTTCCTACTCCTCTCTCTCCCTCCTCTCTGCCCAAGTGCATTTTATCTGCTCTCCAGCCTCTGGGCTCCTGGCCCGAGGTCCCTCCGTCTTCCGTTTACTCCTCGGGTATTGACCATCAGGGTCTCCAAACCTGGGTTGAGGGCTGCTGGCTTTGGAAGGTGAGGAGCAGCTTAGGAGACGCCCACATTCCCCAGGGAGACACCGTGGCGGTGGCAGAACCAGCACTTAGATCAGCACCCAGACTGTGATGTGTCACTTGGAAATGCCTAGTGAGTCAGAGGAGAAAGCCTGGAGTGGGGTGAAGGCCAGACCTGGAAGGCTGGCTTTGTCTCCATCTTACGATGGGCCCAGCCTGTTCCTGGTAAACACCTCTTTTCCTCTGAGCTGTCCTCCCATATTGGGCCAGCTGTCTTTTCTTCCCACTACCCAGTCAGGAAAGTTGTATTTGGGAAGAGGAAAGAAGAACAATGAGCCATCTGAACTTGGACTTTTCTTTTTTAATCATGTAATCAGAAACTTCGTTGCTCTCTAGTTTGTTGCATCTGTGTTTTCGAGCCAGGTCCAGGAACTGGCCAAATACTTTTGATGTCATTTGGTAAATCTCTTGGGACTCTGCTTTTCTTTCTCATTGGGACATTTCTTTGGTTGCTACACAGGGTGTGCCTTCTTTGGGGAACTGTCTCAGCCTTACTTCTTGTTCTGCATATTTTATTTTTTGGTTCCCTTACTGGGGCTTGAACTCAGGTCTGTGCTCTCGCTCTGCTTTTTTGCTCAAGCCTGGTGTTCTGTCACTTGAGCCATACTTCTTCACTTCTTTTTTTTTTTTTTTGGTGTGCTGGTATTTGGAGTTGAACTCAGGGCCGTGGCTTGAACTCTGGCTGGGTTTGGGTACTGTTCCTGAGCTTTTTTTGCTCAAGGCTA